CTGGACGACAGAGTGAGACTCCAACTCAAAAAAAAAAAAAAATAGAAAGAAAATACAGTATCGGGGGATTCGAAACCTACTTATATGGAGGGCTGACGTTTTGTAGATGCAAGTTCCATGAGACCAGCCGCAGGTGTGAGTAGGCACGGATATTGGTACACACAGGGGTCCTGGAAGCAATCCCCATATATATCAGAGACAACTGTAATACCATTCAGTGGTCTTGTCAGAACCTGCCAGAGCTCCCCCATCCTAGCACACAGTCTCAACATGAATGAGTCTGCAGAGCTCTGGGGTGCCCCAACCCATCTTCCAAAGACCTTCAGGGCCACCTGGGTGAAGGTAAAGCATGGGCATGAACCCATGGACCCATCCAGGAGTTCCACCCCACTTCAGCCCAAGTTTTGTTTATCTTGGACTTTTGCATGGGATTTTGCTAGGGTTTTATAGAATTCTTTTGTGGAAAATGACTCCACAGCTTAAAAGAAAAAAAGATCTTTAAACACTCATAGAACTCAAGTCCTTTCAACTTTCAGACAGGACCAAAGGCTCCCCACAAATGAGCTTTGTTCAGGAGGACACAGCAAGTGTGTGCCGGGTAAAACTGACCCTAGCTGTGTCTCAGGCTGGCTTCCCTACTAAGCACCCCCTTTGCCCCAAACTGCCTCCCTTCGCCCCAGCAGGGCCTTCCTCAGAAAATAAAACAAATTTTAATATGTAACAAAAGGCTCACACCTGTAATCCCAGCACTTTCGGAGGCCCAGGCAAGAGGATTGCTTTAGCCCAGGAGTTTGAGGCCAGCCTGGGCAGCATAGTGAGAGACCTTGTCTCTACCAAAAAAAAAAAAAAATTAGCCGGGCATGGTGGTCCACTCTCATAGTCTCGGATATTCAGGAGGCTGATGTAGAAGGACTGCCTGAGTCCAGGAGTTCGAGGCTGTGGTGAGCCATAATCGTACCACTGCACTCCAGTCTGGGCAACATAGTGAGACCCTGCCTCAAAAAATAAACAAATAAACACACACACACACACACAATGTAGCAAAAAGTGATTAGCCAAGCCAATGTTCTTCCCGCCAACCAGCAAGAACAGGTGCATTACCTGTGGCTTGACCCACTTGTACTCAATCAAGCCCAGCCTCCACTCGGGTCCTTGGAAGTTGAACTAGCCTCGAGCCACGGCACCCTTCTCCCCTCTCCACTCTTGGCATTGGTAAACAGTGGCACAGACCATCCTGTGGGGCTGGCCCGCCGTGAGCCCCAGGGAACGCAGTGTGGCACGGAGCTGTCCAGGGCCCAGTCTGAGCCTCAGCACCTCGGCATTGTAGCCTCCAGGTCTTGGCCTGCAGCCCAAGTCCCACCTCCCGAGCTGCTGCAGGTGGTGGAGGCTACAGTCCTGCCGGGCGAATCCAGGAGACCAAGGAACTGCAGCTGCCACCTGGCAGTGCTTGAGGAGGCGGGGCGGGAGGGGGGGTAGGGGTGTCTGAACACATTGCACTCTGGAAATAAGCAAATAAAGAGAAAAAGGCAAAGTCCATCTGTGGGAACACGACTAGGGCAACTCATGGAGGTATCCATGTGGCATGCCTAGCCTAGGACATAGGGGACGGAGGTAAAAGGGGCTTAGGGGTTGGGCTCGGTGGCTCAGCCTGTAATCCCAGCACTTTGGGAGGCCGAGGTGAGTGGATTGCCTGAGCCCGTAGTTCGAGACCCACCCGGACAACTTGGCGAGACCTCATCTCTACAATAAATCAAAAATTAGCCGGGTGTGGTAGCACACACCTGTAGTTCCAGCTACTTGGAAGGCTGAGGTGGAAGGCCGCTGGAGCCCAGCAGGTCGAGGCTGCAGTGGCCATAAGCATGCCACTGCACTCCAGTCTGGGTGACAGAGTGAGACTCCAACTCAAAAATAAAATAAAATTAAAATTAAAAAATTTAAAATAAAAGGGGCTTAGGGACCCAGGCCTCATGGGCCCTCCAAGGAGGACAGCCTGGAGCTCTACAGGGGTGAGGTACGGCCAAGGTGGAACTCTGGGGAAAGGCATCATCAATGAAGACTTCAGGAGGCCTAGAGGAAAAGCTAGTATCAGACTGGAAAGAGGCCTCCCTGCAAAGGACCCCCAAGTCCAGCCTTCAAGAGCAAGGTCACCGGGCTCGGTGGCTCAGCCTGTATCCCAGGGCTTTGGGAGGCCGAGGTGAATGGATTGCCTAAGTCCGTGGGTTCAAGACCTGCCCGGGCAACTTGGCGAGACCTCATTTCTACAGTAAATCAAAAATTAGCTGGGCATGGTAGCGCGCACCTATAGTTTCGGCTACTTGGAAGGCTGAGGCGGAAGGATCGCTGGAGCCTAGCAGATCAAGGCTACGGTGGCCGGGAGCATGCCACTGCACTCCAGTCTGGGCGACAGAGACTCCAACTCAAAAAAAAAAAAATAAGAGCAAGGTCACAGTGAACAGCTCATTCTGGGGAGATGGGGGTGGGAGGGAACAGGTAACAAAGGGAGGAACATCAAAACCAGAGCTGGGGACCTGGAGGCCAAGCAAGGCCATGATGACACAGGAAGGTCAAGGAGAGATGTCATGCAGGAGATGAGAGACAGCCCCACCCAGTCTGGCCCCCACACCCCAGCCCAGCTGACCAGTCTGCCATCCTCAGCTCAGTTCCCACTGCCCCATATAAGGACTTTGAGCCAAGCCTTCCCACCACCCGCTTTTGCACATATTGTTGCACCCACAGGGCACATTGTTTCTCTTCCTCCTTCCTACTCCAGCCCTGCTGATCCTATAAGACTTCAGCTCATCCGCCAACGCCCCCCGCAGCAGCCCAACTCTAAATAATAATTAGCACCTTATTCTCACCACGGGGAGTGGGGCAAACCTCGGCCAGGGCATTCCAGTGGATTCTTCCACTTAACACTCTCCCCAACCTTCCAGGTTTGGGATTACAGCCTGCATTTTATAAATGAGACAGAGGCTCAGGCGC